GCGTGTTGTAATCAAATTATCCAAATTATCGATATGTAGAAACTCTGTATTTAGAAACCCGGTTTTGATTTAGTTCAACATTTTTTATATTATAGCGGTACCAATGTGTAAACATAAATTGTTTACAGGTATTTAAAAGCTAACAATTTTGATTACTTAAATGTTTAGTCCCAACACTCGCAATAGTTTTTTTAAATTTTCAATTTAGGTAAAATCGATATATTGATCGAAAAAAAGGAAATATAGATAGAATCAGTACAGTATCGATAATTTTACATTGCACGTAAGCTCGTGGAGTATCAAATGAAGACTTTATGAGATTGGAAATTTTCTTTCCCTTATCTACATGATTCCTATCTCCCTACTTACTTATTCATCCGTTTGAGTTCTAAGTTTTCTTACAGGCATAATTTACATTTGCAGTTTTGGTATTGATTTTTTTGCTTCCCGCCGGATCCTATTTAAGAAGAAATGGGCTGAAGCAACAGGCAGTAAAAGCTGGGTACCTACTAAATATAGCACCATTTGCTATAGGCATTTTATGACATCACATAAAAATTATATACATATGAATAACAACCGAAAAATTCATTAAGAAATAAATCATTTGGTTAATCACGTGGACATGATACTCAGAGTCGCCTTCACAAATTATAGACCACATCTAAATGTGAAAACATTTCTGAAGCATTGTCAGTTATTTTTCATCAAGTTTTCATGAAACAAATGACTCGCTTCTTCGCCTACGGAATCATAATCGAAATAATAAGTATCTTCATTTTCTTGATGCGCTCGTCGACGCTATAGGTGTAGTCACGTTCAGCCAAAGAGGTAATTGTTGAACAAATATATCATATTTGAGGGAGAATAAAGATTTTTAAGATGACTGTGTTGTAACATTTCAACCCTTCCAGTGATCAGATTTGAAATCTAGTAGGTTAATGAAAGTACGATGACAGCATAATAAATCATTAATAGGTACTGTAATTGTAGCATATAGCTACGCATACGCACACGCCTGGGTAGCTAATATCAATTAATATTGCGTGTAGTAAAACCTTATGAGTATTTGGTAACAAATCTGTGCGTGTAAAAGTTAGCTACGCTAGTTCTCGAAGAAATTGCTTTAGATGCCGTTTCCATACATACTCCGTGATTAACCTTAATTATAGCAAGTATAAAGCAATACCTAGCAATATTCCGCTAGTTATGAAGCGTAATGTCGATATCAATTAAATGTCATATCCCTATCTGTAGATTGTCAACTTTTTGCCTTTGTTCCAAGAAGTTTATGCTCATAGGATTCTTAGCTTTTATGTGACTAGTAATAATAAAACCTTATTAGATCCAAATAAGTTTAAATTTTTTTTACCAAAGTTTTTTTATTATTGTCTATTTTCGTTTGATAATTTTTAATCAATCAAAACTATGTTATCTTAGTACTAATGTTAGATTACGTTTTCAAATGTGTGCATGTGGCGACACCGGTTTTGATACAAATGTTGCTTTTTTCTTTCTTCCGTGGTAGCTGGCCTTGTTGCCCCGTCTCAAATTTACACCCTGTATATGTATGTATAGCTATCTTTGCTATAATGCGGATTGCGCGCCAATTTTCGGAAGTCATTAATCAGGCCTAAATAATTATCGGTTATTCGGCCTCGCTCCGGGCCGAATATTCGGTATCCGGCCTGAAGGCGAAATACTATTAGCTGCAACACTAATATAAACTCATAATACCAATTTTGAAGTGCAACTAGTGAATATGGGAAGTCATTTGTATTTTATAAAATACATGTATAAAATATGTGGATCTATAATGTATCTTTATTATACATACTTAAAGTTGAGTTGCGGACACCAGCCCGTTACACCAAGTACCAAGTATACATACTTACTACAAAGCATTAACAGTTTGATAGAGTATTATACATACATGTAAATGTACATATGGGACTTATGTGGAACAAGCTGACCTCACCTACTGACCTATTGTCTAAGGACACTAGAAATGATTAGTTAGCTGCTTAACCCTTTAACATGTTCATTGCCAATCACACAATATCGCACGTTGTGAGTTGTCACCAAGTGGGTGAACACACGTTATTGCATAGATTTCGCTATCAAGTTTCTAAGCGGAATTGTATAGCAGTCACCACACTAAATTCCAATTTTCAGCTTGGAAATGAAAGCCAAAGTCAAAGTATCATTTGTTCCATAGGTAAAATAAATGTACACTTGAAAACATCATATTTAAGCTACTGCTCTTTCACTTTGTTGACTTCCGTGAGAAGAATGAACATTTAATATTTTATGTATGTTAATAAATTATTTCATTTTTCATGCTTTTTCATACCTAGTACATGATTAAATTCATTAATCCATATGTATAATCAATAAATACCTAATCTAGTCTCTAGTAATAATAATAATGCACACACTCAACATAGCTCCGACATAGCACTAGGGAAACCCTGTGTTGCGGGTGCCATGGACATCTATGTGTATAGACATCCACAAATTGCACCCAAACTCACGAGATAAACAAATGTAGGCCATACAAATATTTCTGCTTGGTCTGGTTTTTTTGCGTGGCACTTTGGCAACCGTTCAGCCATGGAGGCAGTTATGGCAGAGTCATGAGGCTGGTGAGTCTAGTGTAGTTAATTATGCACCTCAATTATTAATTTACTTGGTAACAAATAACTTCTTTTTTTACTTTAGGTGGCAATTATTTTGAGACATGCATCAAGTTCTTTCTTGTTCCTAGTTGTTATGTTTAATCTCATTAGGTGTCATTAGCGAACAGTCCATAAGATACAATTTGGCGTGCCTTAAGAAACTGCTGTAGATTTGGACTGAAAATGCAGTAGCAAATTCAAACTGACTATTCCTGTAATTTTCATATATCGCACTTGACAACTAACGTAGTATTTTATCTGAAAAATTCCGTTATTTTATATTTTATCTCCGAATTGCGTTATATTAATAATTTTTCCCAAAATTTTGCTATATTTGTAGGTCACGATTTAATTTCAAAGTGTCAGGACAACACTGTTGCTTTGAAATTAAATAGGTAATATTAATGTAACTTAAGCAATTTTGAAATAATACTATGGTAGTCGTCATATGCGAATCTTGTAAATTGCAGTAGAGAATTTTAACTGATCTAACATATTTAACTTTTTAAAACATTTGATTATATTTTGACAGTTTTCATAGCCTAACCATTTGCTTTGTGGGCGCTGGATGCGGAGGTCCTGGGTTCGATTCCCGGTAGGACCAATTTCGGCAAAGAACTTCTAAATTGTTCTAGTCTTGGTGTTCTGGGAAGTGCCCAGAAGCCAATTGCTCAGATACTGATACTACAGGCAAAATCCTACTTTGAGACTAGGCAATTGGTGTGGTTGTCTGGCACGACATAATTATTATTATACCCTGCTGATCTATTTAATATATAGCCACCCAAACAAATTGTCATGTGTTAACAACACTTGCTTTGTGGTATAATCTTCCTCGGTTATTTTATTTATTATTATTATTTTTTATAATTTATTTTATTGTCCTACAAAAGTATTTATGGGTTGGTAACTTTATTATTATATATTAATATTTATATATACATTCTAATAATATATGTATTTATTATTATTATTTATATGTTCACTTTATTGATGAGTAGTGTATTTATTTAAAACGCTTTCATTCACCCTTTGCACCCCCCTTTCCAACTCTTAAATTTCTATACTAAGGTTGCCTGGAAGAAATTGCTACTTAGCAATAAGGGCGTCTGTTGTACATTGGCTTACTCTGTGATACTTACGTTACTGCTCTGTGTTGTCATTGTAATTTTAATGTGCAATAAAGAATATTTCATTCATTTATTCATTCACAAAATGTTGCAAAGATGTTGATTATTTTCTGTTTATCTGCGTCTCCTTGATAATAAATATGATGCTGATGTTCTTATAATATTCAATCAAGCATGGTGTGTTCCATGTGTTCGGATTAATGGCGCATTCAAATTAGCCGCTGTTAGACGCGGCTGCAGCGCGTGTTGGCCGCGCGACTGTCGCGCTGCTGAAATGCGACCAAATTTTTAGTGATGTTTTATCTTTTGACTCAGTTACGCGATGGATTCTGACGAAGAAACGTTACTTTTACTTATTTTGTCAAAACTGAAGAAAAAATGCAATGATACCAATAAATAATAGCATTAAGTCATTGTGATATTTCCATTAAATAGTAACAAAACTCGATTTACGAAAAATATTTGTAAATAGTTTTCGCCTTGTTTACGGGTTTTATGGGATTTTTATATTTGTTTAACACTATTCTTCACACTTATATTCAGAAACTATATATCTCAAAAGATATGTAGTTAGGGGGTCAGAGTTCTTGGGGCACACACTTCACGTATACTTATTAAAAATGACTGACCTGTTATGTTTTTTTAATTTGTAGTTTTAGTTTCAAAATTGTCAATAAATTTTAGACATAAATTTTGCCATGCTTTTTTTTTCCAGTCGATTAGAATAACTGGCGGAACTGATATTGCAGGGTGTTGTTTTACGTTCTCTATAAATTCTTTAACTCGGTTTTCGTCCATCAGTTAGTTTGAAAAATTAACTTGCACACCGCACTAACCGTGACTGCAGCGCTGCTGCAGTGCGGCTAACAGCGGCTAATTTGAACGCGCCCTAATTTTCTTGAGAAGGAAAATAAAACTTTCATCCTATTTCGCGTTTACGAAGTTAGCTAAGTTCATGAGTCATGCCTTACAAATAACTTTTGCTTTTTGTGTCAAAACTCAAACAAAACGTTTATAATTTCATTATCAGTATTAACTAATTAAATTAGTTTTAAAAGTAAAGTAACTGTATTATTTGCAACGTTTGACGTTTTTGAAGTTGCTTGTTTTACGAAACAAATTTTCAGATGTCTTCGTAAACAGCACACTAAACGTCATTTCCAGAATTACAAGGCTTTGTTGTATTGACTCCGATTTTTATTTTTCGAAGAATACAGTAAAATTGTTGTTTGGTGCTCAACATGGTTTTTTCAAGATGAATTTCTCTTTAGAAGATAGCACAACAGATATAGTACCACCAAAACTGGAGGAGATAGCCCGTGATGTTGTTAAAAACGCCAAGTGCTGCGAATCGGTTCAAAAAGACCTGCTATTTGTTTTGATCATTGTTATGATGATGGAAAATGGATTCTATCCCATCACAAACGAAGGCGATCCCGTCTGTGTAGACTCAAAATGTTTGGAGAATTGGAAAAATTCTAGTATCCTAAATGCTAGGTTCACGTTATTTGGTTTCAACGAAGTCGCTTTAAGTCTGATTATAAGCCCCCTAGGACCTACAGCATTAATCAATGTTGTGATTAATGATTTAAATTCCGAAACATATACTGTATGTGTACCTGTGAGCCGTTATGTTGTATCTCCTCATGCATCCACTATTCCAATGATATTTAGAGACCTGAAACATCTTTCTAATACATTCAAGAACAATATTTCAACACCTGTAAAGAGTAGAATTCTCAGCTTGTATGGCTACCCCAGTGCCAGTATAATAGGACTACCTGAAGAAGTATATTACAAATTTACTCAATTATTACCTGTGCATGATGTGGTAACAATGTCCCAGACATGTAGGAGACTTAAGTGCTTAAATGATAATCAAATTCTGTGGCGAGATTTGTACAGGAGAGACTTTAAAGAAGAACTACCCCCAGAGCAGTCTGAAAATAGTGACTGGAAGACATCCTACAAAGAGACATATGTTGCAAAACGTGATGCAAGCTTAAGAAGAACAGCGGGCACTCTACATGACTTCATGGACTATTCAGATTTGGTTGCTCATATTGACAATCCTTTATGGGATAATATGATAATATAGCAAATTTTTATTATGTAAATATTGAATTCTTCTTTGTTACAAAAACTTTTTCATTTAAATTGATGTTTTCTCACAAATGATGAATTCAAATAACATTTTATGGTACCTATATAATTCTTCAAATTTCTAATTCATTTTTATACAGTATTGGTTTAGTGGAATTATTTGAGCTATTAAGCTTGTGTAAATTAGGCAGTTAGTGAGAATAATTTGCATATTTTTAATTCCTTCAAAAGTAATCAGTGCCATGTATAATGCTTTGCAATGTTGTATAGTTCTATTTTTGTAAAAATTATAATTATAACCAATTAAAAGGTATCAATGTTGATCTTGAGACTTTCATTTTCCTTTTACCTTTGAAATTATTAAAATTGGCAGAATGTATCTCAAAATAATCCATTTTAATATAGGTGACAGTGGAGATAAAGCAAACCTGGGTGTTCACACAGTCTGCAAAGGAGGGAGGCATTTGTCAATACCATTTGATTCAGCAACTACGAATGGTGATATAAGTGAGTATATTTCTCTTTATTAACTCGTCCTAGAGACACAATGACAAATACTTATAAATATATAAATTTTATAATGGTGGATGGAAACACGGCGCGAATTAGAGTTGACTCTATGTCAAAGTCAAAGATCATTTATTCCATAGATTAAATAAATTTACACTTGAAAACGTTGCATTTAAGCTACTGCTCGTTCACTATGCTGACCTTCCTGAGAAGAACGGGCAAAAAACTGAGGATTGCTCTTTTTAAATGCTATGGAATACACTTTGAAACAAATTTGTGTGGATTCTGGAGCCGTGTCATCTTTCCATATATCTTTATCTAACATGTAGTCTTCAATTTTGTAATATGACTTTCTGATCAAAATATTTTTAATGTAGTCTTTAAACTTAGGAAATGATAAACTTAATATATGCTCCGGAATCTTATTATAAAAACGTGTACAGTTCCCCATAAAAGAGTTGTTTACCTTGATTAAATGAAATCGTGGTATCATGAGTTTGGACTTAGCTCTATGGTTAATATTATGGATATCTTCTTTCTTATTGAAATTATGGATATTTTTACGGGCATATAAAATATTTGAATAAATGTACTGTGTTGCCACAGTCCTGATACCAGTCTCCTTAAACTTTTCTCTGAGAGAAACCCGTGAGCCTAGACGGTACACTGAACGAATCGCTCGTTTTTGCAATACAAATATGGTTTGAATATCTGCCGCTTTACCCCACAATACCGTAGGACATTATACTTTGGAAGTAACTAAAGTTAACTAGTGTAGTAGTACTAACATCGGTAAGGTCACGTATTCTGCAGACTGCGTATGCAGCGGAACTTAATCTGCTGGTCAAAGTAGATATATGTGGAAACCATTGAAGTTTACTATCTAAGGTCACTCCCAAGAAGACTGCTTTATTAACAAGGTCTAACTTTTCTCCGTTTATTTCTATGTTTGGACTAGTCGATTTTACGTTAGGTAATTAAAATTTAACACATTTTGTCTTCTTGGCATTAAGCAATAAATTGTTAGCATCAAACCTATAAACTACCTTAGAGAGGGTATCATTAATATGGTCATAGTTAACGTCATGTCTGTCTGTTTTAAAAATCAAGGATGTGTCATCAGCAAACAATAGTATTTCGCAATGATCCTTAACAAAGAATGGCAGATAATATAAATCAGAAATAAGAAAGGTCCAAGTATTGAGACCTGCGGAAAACCCATTTTTACCGGAGAACCCAAAGAAGTCACTCCATTTATGTCTACTTTCTGAATTCTACCGTTGAGATATATGTCGATACAAGTTCCGACACCTTGCCATTTACACCGTAATGTTCCAGCTTCCTAATAAGAGTAATATGGTCAACGCAATCAAATGCCTTTGAGAGATTACAGAAAACACCAATAGCGTTCTGGGACCTTTCCCAAGCATCAAAGATGTGTTTTAGTAACGCTGCCTCACATCGCTAGTCGATCTACCACTAGTAAACCCGTATTGTTCACCATGAAAAATATGATTCCTACCGAAATAGGACAGTAATTGAGTCAGCATAACCTTTTCGAATATTTTACTTAAAGCTGGTAAAATTGAAATGACATGTGACAACTTAAAAAGTATTTAAAAATATATTCTTGTAACGAAAATTCTCCTTTAGGTCACTAGACAAGCGAGTAGAGACAGCTAGATATTTCACTCTTATATCTCTTGATGTTCCCTTTACTACTAAGTATCGTAACTTATGTTTAATAGTTTGGGATTCAACTAACTGAGCTGAATAGTTTTCCACATTTAGGGAACCCAACATTGGAAGGGGATTGGATTGGCGTGACATGCCAAAATATATCAAAAAATGAACTGCTTGTGGTCTCACATAAGACCGACTGCATGTTGGTAAAAAGAAGACAAAAAATGTTTAATAGCCATAGCCGGTGCTCTTATACTACAATTGAGGCTATCAGCGCAAAAGTGGTGTTACCTTCATTTAATTTTTTGTCTGCAATGTTACTCTGAAATGATAAAGTATGTACATAATTATTATATATTTTGTTGGTAATTCCATGCATAAAAAATATATATTGGTCATATAATGATTACAATGATTAGTGATTACAAATTGATAAAATTTTTTTAGTGCTTTTCGACTTTTTTTTTTATTCTAATGTAAGTGTGCGTTTGACCTCTATCTCACCTGATGGAAAGTGACGATAAGGTCGACGATGGAGAATGCACACGTAAATAATGCCTATTAACTCTCGACTTGAAAAGGTCCAAGTTATAACGTTCAGGGAACAAGTCTGCAGGCAGGGAATTCCACTTCATAGCCGTTCGCCATATAAATGTGGAAGCGTAACGCTTCGTGCGAATCTTTGGAATATCCACAACATAGGGACGGAAGCCAAGCCTACGCTTAGTCCCCCGATGATGGAAAGGGGAAGGCGGAATTAAATCGTATAATTCCATCGCACACTCTCCGTGATATATCCTGTAAAATACCGATAAAAAGGCAACTTTACGGCGGTGTTCGAGGCTCTGCGGCTTCGCCTCTACTAATTCCGAGTCACCTATAAGCCTCTTGGCACGGTTGTCAATTGAATCCAAGGTGGCCAGTTGGCATGTAGCAGAGCCATCCCAAAGGTGGCAGCAGTACTCCACACACGACCATACACGACTCAGTTTTATGTAAGGATAATTTCATTGTATGGGCGAAAAAATCGGTACAGCACAAGATGGTCAAATTTCATAAAATGTTTTTCATACAAAATTATTATGTTCGTCCTGTACAATGAAATGATCCTTACATAAAACCGAGTCGATCAGCATGTGTTTTTTGCCATTCTTCAATATAGGCCCCGCCATTCAAACGTTCCTTGGCGGCAGAAACCAATTTGCTCTGATCCCTTTTAAAATTGGCAAGTGGAGTACCTAATAAAAATTTGTGATCAACATTAATTCATATCGAGTTCTTAGGTTTTCGCGATTGTTACACATAGGAAATGAAACTGTTTTTCCGGATTTACATCGCGTATATTTATTTTTTCAAACAAACCGACGTTTCGGGACCTTTACAGGTCCCATGGTCACGGTTTAGTACTGCAGTCTTATGTCTGTTTGGGATTTTTCATTAGAGAAAATACTGGATCCCAAACTGGTGATACGGAGAAACCATTTTCCCTGTTGAAATTAGGATGTTTTATTAATTTCAATGGCCTCTCGCAGCATCCTGGGTAGATAACGGACTTCTTTTGCAAGGACCTGGGGTTTGTCAAACTTCATTGAATGTGTAGGTATATCCATGACATGCTCGCAGACTGCAGACTTGTTTACGCGACAGTGTTTGACATCAGCTATATGTTCCTTGACGCGGGTACAAATACTTCGCTTTGTTTGTCCAATATAAGAGAGACCGCACTCACAGTCAAGCTTGTAAACTCCTGCATCCTGTAAGGGGATGTTACATTTCACGGGTCACAGGAACTGACAAATCTTCCTCAGGGGCTTGAAATAGGTCTGAAATAGGTAGGAAAAATAGGGTGGTTTGCATCAATATTAGACATAACTGGTTGAAGACTGTACCACCTCAGTCAACCGTGACCATGGGACCTGTAAAGGGCCCGAAACGTTGGTTTGTTTGAAAAAACAAATATACGCGATTTAAATCCGGAAAAATAATTTCGTTTCCTATCAACATTAATTTTTCGCCATTTTTCAATATGGCCGTCGTACAAGCGTTTATTGGCTGTAGATAAAAATTTGCTCTGATCTGACTGAAAACCGGCTGACGACATTCATCGGCACACTGAATTTGCGGTCAAAATATATTTTTGCAATTTTTAATTACATACCTACGGTAAGGTACAGGCCTCGTATATATATAAAATCATCATCATCAACAACGCGCTATAGCAGTCCACTGCTGGACATAGGCCCCTCCCAATGCGCGCCATTTCACCCGGTCCTCAGCTGCATCCATCTGCTGCCAGCAAAGTCACTCCATCTGGGTAGAGGGCGCCTATACTACGTTCGCCACTCAAGAAATCGCTTCCCCCATCGGTTACCGGTTCTTCGACAGATATGGCCAGCCCACTGTCACTTCAGCTTGCTTATTCGACCAGCTATGTCGACGACCTTGGTTCTCTTTTGGTCGGATAACCTCGTTCCTCACCCTGTCCTTCAAATAAACTTCGAGCTTAGCTCGTTCCATAGCTCGCTGAGCTACTTTCAACTGGTGAACTAACTGTATTGTGAGTGTCCACGTCTCGGCTCCGAATCCGAAAAAAAATGGAAATGAAACAATCTTTTTTTCGGATTTAAATCACGTATGTATTTGTTTATTCAAATAAACCAACGTTTCGAGCCCAAAAATAAGTTTCATTTCTAAATATAGCAATCGCGAAAAAGTAAAGACATGTAGTTGTGATGTCTAGAATACTGACTTCATATTATAGACCGTGGTATACACATATTGTATTGTGTTACATTTTATGTATCCAATTTTAGGATATCAATTATTTGTTAAAGTTTTTCGTTCTGAATACGCATGTAAGCACTCGAGTATGAGACTCGTGAAACGTACGGAAGCGTGTACAGACCTCGCGAATTGGCAAGGGAGAGAGGGGTGCGCAGTTAAGATGCGCCGCGCAGCCTCCTCTCGTATCCCACTTCGTGGCGCCGCCATTGTCGAGTTGACGTAAGAATCGAAGACTAGACGGTGAACGCTTCTCGAGTGTTACGTAGATGTAGGGCCCTGAGCCGAGCTTATGTGCTGATGGCCTGGCGGAGGTGAGCGGCGCCGTGGAGGGCCCGCGGACACCACGTGACCGACCTCCGTGGCGGTGCTACGAACCCATGCTCACCCATAGCCGATCCGACAGCGATTTCCCGATATACACTCGAGGTGAGCAAACAATTTTACCCGGCATCGTCGAAATACCCTTATTGCCCATAAACCTGACCTATTTACCATTTATCTAATTCTATTTCGTTAATAGCAATTTAAAGTTATCGACTTTTTTATAATTTGGGAATTGTTTAAATAAAAACAACGTTACACACGCAGTAGCGGTTAGGATTTCCGTATATTATTAATAGAATTTTTTTAATAATGCATACACAACAATCCTCAGATATCATCAAATTATTTTGTTTGCTGTTAGATACTAAAATGAATTAATTTAGTAGTGTCGTCTGAATGTCCAAGGAGAGATTTATAAATCAATATTCTAGCGTCCCGTGTTTACAGCTCGCTCGTAGATTGTTACGAGCATCCGTTTCATCGCTCTTTACATTGAATTTATATGCAATTGTCAGTCTGCTCCTTTGATTATTTTAATTTTATTTTTGTTGTTGTTACCATTTACGAGAGTTTCATACGTTGTTTCAAAACTTGCCTTCAAATTCAAGCCTCGCCGCGTACATTATACGCAACGCAGGCTCCTGGCATGAAAACCATGGTCCGCTTATTTTCTAGGGTATTAGGTATCTATTAATAAGCAAAGGCTATACGCTTAGTCTCACCGGTGAGCTTATACATAATAGGACCTGCTGCGCACTGTGATCATTGAAGTGGCTAATTCAATGTTTTAATGTCACTTGACATTCTTTAATTGAGTGTAATGACTCATGTGATGTGTCTTGGTAGAGTAAATTGATACCCAGACACTCAAACGTCCAGGATCAAATTGTTATGTCATTAAATTTTAATTAGGCAGCTAATCGATTATTGTTGTTAATTCCCTGAATTATGTTTTCGTTTTTTTTATACGCTATTGTGATATCCATCGCCTATAATATGTAGTTTGCGATAACAAGAAAGTAACATTAAAATCGTAAATGCTATACTGGTCGTGTGACATAAGATCTTAAGTCTCCTGTGCCTTAATAAGCACAAGACACGAGATATTTACGCTGGCTTTTCCTAAAGCTGAGCTGCTGTTCAGTAGAAATAAGTGCCCGTCAACCTACCACCAGTAGAATCGAAATAAGTAGTGAATCAATATGACCAATGAAGTTGGTATGAGCAAAAGGCTATACGTATACGATAAGTAGCAGGAGGTACCTCGTAGTGATAACACTATCATGCTTTATCTTATCTAACAAGTTCTGATCGAGACATAAGTAATCTTAGTTATTTTTTGTATTTCACTTAAATAAGACTTTTTATGTGTAATAGACTAGTGAACGAGTGTACCTAATAGTGAATGACCAAGCTGTGTTGTATAAACATGGATGATTTATTTCTCAAGGCCAAAACGAAACGAAGACCTATTGATGATGACACGACGAGCGAAAGTGGTGTTATAGACGGTAATGAAGGTTTCTTGATAAATCTAACATTTTCTATGTTGGGAACGAACAGGTGACAGCCACTTTTTATTTACGTTGTCAAATAGTCAAAAGCGACTTACAACCTGAAGTCTTGTTGCAAACTCAATCATCATACGTAATTAATATCTCTCTAAATATAGTATATACTTTTAAATAGTTATTTCACCTGCGGCTGTTCAATAGTACGAGTGCATAGGGAGTTTGCAATGGGTGTTGTGTACACCTGCTCTTAGAGACGCCGCGGTGAGGGGATTTCACGTGAGTCGGTGGTATCGATGCATGTCCGATAAAATTAAATTACTATTGTACATAATCATTTTCTTTGTCAAATAATCACTACATTTCCCTCCTGTGGTTTTGTTTCCTTACTGAAACTTTTTGACATTTAATTACAGCGTGTCTACTAACTCTATTATTAATTCTTCAGCTACCTTCTTTTGCTTTTCTCTGAAAGTCGTATATTATGTAGAGAGAGGTAGAGATATATTTATTTGTAAGCATACACGGTAAATACAGTTTACATATTTAAGATTACACTTATAATTCAGCGTGTTGCGCCAGTAACTGGCATACAAATCTCAATATCAAATATTATACATTGTTCACATTTATTACATATAGTCATATTACATTATATAATTAAAATCATATCGTATTACATTATATAATTAAATTTTGTTCATTAAATAATATAATTAAAGAAAAATTATGATTTAATAAAGAAGAGGAACGTATGTCAAAGTAGTAGATTTAAGTAGATATGCAGGCTTCAAAATTTAAATGTCAAAAACTCATTTACATTACAAAAACAATTTGTCACAAGCAATTCAAATAGTATTTTCTTAAATCTAGGACGTAGGTTACATTTTTATATTGTCAGGTAATACATTATATATACATATTTACGCACATGTTTTGTCACCTTTGAAAACGTGTAGTAGTGTGTACATATCGGGCCAAACGATAGGGATATCGGATTAAAAACGAACATTTTTGAAGTAAATAAATAACTATGTTTTTTGACAAAAATACACATCTCGAATATATAGAAAGGAAGGGACAATATTCTTAGTTTTTTAAATAAAGGTTTGCAGCTATCTCGCATACCAGCACCACACGTCGCCTTTACGCACTTGTTCTGTAGAGTAGGCCTATAAACAGCATTTTCGAGTCCAAGTCTAAATATCTCCATTCAATGCTTCACAATAAAATAGTAAGTTATAAGTACGAAGATAGTTAGCGTAGTCTAACGGGCAGGTCAACAAATCGAGCAAAACGATTGCAATCCCTCCGGGCGCCACAACGCCGGTTGTCTGCGTGTTGACGTGCGTCGGGCGGAGGCTCGCCATGCCATGCCGCGGCTCGGTGAGGCGAGGCGAGTGCATTGCAACATGCAGGGCAGGAGTGGAGCGACAGAGGCAGGCAGGCGGGCCCCCACCCTGCCCCGCGTTGTCGTCTCGGCCCGCGCGCCAGTTCGCCGTTGTGCGTCTCTCGCGGCGCAGGCACTTTGCTATGATCGCCTCGTCATTGGAATTTTAGTAACGGTTTCGCGTGTGGCTTTGTTCAGTGTTTACGGACAGTGTTATTGTATTATTTTAATGCCGAAGATGCTCAGGATACGACATGGACGTGCGTAGTTGACATGTCGCTGAGCGCGCCCGCCCAGGCGGCGCGCGGGGCCCGGACCAGTAGCCTCGACCAACTGGATTTCCAGGAGCGAAGGCAGCTCATAGCAAGCACCTTGTCCCTTACGGATTTCTTGCACGTCGGGGCGAAGGAGGTAGCTGCAGTTGCCGGTCAGTCCCCTTCGCATTTTGTCTCGCACGCCCAACCGCATTCCTAACAATAGCTTTGCGAAATCAAAGACTCATGCACGACATTTGGCGTGTATATATTCCATTCAAAAGTTTACATAAAATGAGTGTTCGTATTAAAACCATTATTAAAAAAAATATGTGTTTCATATGTTAGTGTTACTTGAAATAAGTTTTGTATTTTATATAAATAAGTCTTCTTGATCGAACCATGAAACTCTACATTTGAAAATAAGGACTAATTAAAATATTTTGTCAACAAGTACCTGTCTGATTCGCTGTTACGGATTCTGTAGAGTGGACTTTTGTTCGTGAAATAACTATTAAAGTTAACTTTGTATTGAATATAAGTATGCCTGCCTACTGAAACTGTACTTAGATCCTGCTTAACGAAAGTAATTTGCGATACTAGTACAATATTAAAATAATAGAATATAGTAAATGATTTCCCTAAAGTATAATCGTTTCGAGCATAAAAACATTTTTTCTTATAACTCTACAATGATATCGCCACGCTACCTGCAGGAGTGGTTCGAGTTGGTCACGGTATCGCCATTGTGCCCGCCTACTTATCATTAACCTTTGCGTGTTTTATTTATTTTTTGTTTTGGACCCGTGGCTACGAGGAATTTAAATAAAAAAGGCTGTTGTGTAATGTTTTGAACTTGATGTCTATGGGAAAAACTAGATCTCTGTATGCGGTCTTCTCGGCCCTTCTCTCTCTCTCTCTCTCTCTCTCTCTCTCTCTCTCTCTATGTTTTCCCTTCCATCCTAATCAGAGTTGTGGTTATTAATAAATAATAGATAAGCCGCGCAAGGCGGTACGGCTAGTTAAAACTGTATTCCCAGGTTTCCAAATACGGTTGCGCGGATATAAGATTTGACCTCAGGTTCGACTTCGAAATCATGTCCAAGACAACCTCAGAGAAGGTCGCTCAAAAGGCCATTTCTAGTGATCTCCGAAGTGAGTAGGTATTCAAGGTACTTATAATAAATACCTATCGCGCTAAGCCTTAACTGCGCACTAGCTATGAAATACATAATTGAGACTATCTTGTCGTATTATCGCTTCTTTGTCTCTCTTACTTACTACATACAAAAGGTTTGTTCGCTGGTACTTAAACATATACTGAGAACAAAAGAGAGACTGGATTTACTCATCATGTTTTCCCATGCGTATATATCATTGAAAGTGAAAATATGATTTTCCATTCGTAGCGTAATGAAGTACAGTACTAGTAAAACGCACCGAGTAAAAAACTAAAAAAGCGTTTATTGCTGTTGCTACTCTGCTAATTACGGTAAACCCAGGGAATCCAGCTAGAATAGAAGCAATAACAATGCCACAACTATACAACAATACATGTTATCGCCAGAGAATTATTTGTGGCTGGTGATGTCACATTGTCGTTTGCGCTTACACAATTTGTGAATGTAACCACATGTAACTAACTGTATGTTTGTGATTTTTGCGTTTAAATGTGAGACGCTTTATTAGCGGAAACGCTTTTGATCGGATACCATAAAAGTAGATACTAATCGCGTTTTAGTTCCGAGTCTTCGCTATAGAAAGGACCGGGACGCGACGTAGTATATTAAATATACATTATGAAATGAAGAATTTTTCATCATAGTATACTTGTATATGGTCGAAATGACAGAAAACATTAGTCAACATATCTATACTCTACATATTCAGGAAGGAAACATAATGTTAAACATATTTACGATATTTTACCTCCTACTCAATAGAAGAGTCTCTGTTGACGAAATTTATTCAATGGCACAGCGTTATTTTTAAATAAAATAAATCAAATGACACAGAAACGACTCGCTTGTACGTATTTTTTCGGCCGAGGCGCAAGTCGATTAAGTAAAGTTTTGGCATTTGAGTATTGTAATGAGAACAAATGCATAGTTTGGTTAATTTACGAACGGCCACGGGTCAAAATAAGTCGACCTGCCAATTGGACCTCTTCCAACCGACTTTAGTGCGATACCTAGTGTTAATTTAACCAAGTAAACATAATTACTCGTTAACGTGGATAACTTATCATATCAATATTCTAAGTGTTTACGAACGAGCGTCCCGCATAAACGGTACGGCACTAATCATTGCAAATCATTTCAACGAATGTTTTTGTTAACTAATTAGAAACAATCATGTGGTAAATTATGCAACTATTTGCGTGCAAACTTTGGAATAACCAAGTCTTAACAGGTGCAAGGCCAGTTTGCCTAAAGTAAAACCAATACTTGTAGTCGTCAATGATAATTTATCATACATATTGTCTCGTCACAATACCGAATGCAAACAAACATTTAAATTAAATATTTAAAAAGTAAAGTGGTATTTCATATCCTTTATTAGACTTATTGGAGTTATTAGAGCATACACGTATACGAGGATGAAAATGTCGTGTTTGAGTAGGTGACCAATAAATAGAATATAAGAATTGTTAATAACACTTGACGTTCTATTTATTTACTGACTTCAAAATAGGAAGAGATTGTCAATTCGACTGTATTTTTTGTGTATTTCCGATTTTTAACCGACTTCAAAAAAAGGAGGAGGTTCTCAATTCGACTGTACTTTTTTTTGTATGTATGTTACGCGATAACTCCGTTATTTGTGAACCGATTTTCATGATTCTTTTTTTGTTGGAAAGACGGTACCTCCATAGTGGTCCCATTTCATTTTGAAGAAAATCATCCACCTCTAAGGTTAGCTGATCACGCATGAACATTCATTTTTATAAATAGCGCTTAAATTTTACTTAAGGAGCAATTATTTTAATGGTTGGTTTTGCTATTCTCCAATTCAAGGCGTTTTTCTCTCTCAATATACTTTGAGTAGTGAGAACCCATTTTTATTATAGGTGTACCAGAATCTGATAGCACTTAGACAAGTTGAAATTTGTAGTGGGCAACATCAATATAGTAGGGAAAAATGTACTAGATACTTGACATATTTTATTTGACCAAAATTGATCTATCCTCGTACATGTTTTAAGATCTGTTTGAATTTGTGTGTAAGAGAGGTTAGTAATTTCTGATAGATTTTAAAATTAAACAAAAATATATTAATTAGATTGTGGGTGATAGATTTATTTACGTTCGCAGTTTGAAGCAACTCGCATTTACGTCATTTATCTTTTTTTTCCAACCAATCATTGTACATTAATTTGGCTTCGTTAAAAATTCAAAGATCAAGTTTATTTACTCCTACTAATCGGAAGACTTGAGACCTGGTTGTAAATCGTGAATTGTGACTTAGATGCACCTAATTCGTCGCTGATTTTGCGATAAACAATATAACAATGTTTTTTGCTTGAGATTGAAGTGGATTTTTGTAATTATTGCTACAATGAAAAAAGTTTAGCAGACATTCATTTGACACAAGTAATATTTTGGATTGACATGTGACAAGTTAACATTGCCAGGTGAAAATTGTTCGATTTTTCTAATATTTAATGCCATGAGATTCTGGTACACCTATATCTCCTGTGTCAAGTCCTGTATAGTGGCGAACTAGGGGATATTTCAATAAAATTTGGCAAATAGATGTAATTCCACGTCCTTTTGAGGTCGGTTTTTTTAGTACTCTGTACTGAGATTATGATGATTATTTTTTTTGTTGGATAGGGTTAGGGGAGAAGTGGGTAATCGTGGTCTGTGGAAAATGGTGGTCACTCGTGTACCTAAAAATCTAAACGTGAACCGGGATCGGGATACCCCGCAAAGGCTTGGCCATTAATCCCCATCATCGCGGCGAACGATTCGCTAGGTGATAGTGAAGCTTTAGAGCGAGACAAACGAAAGATATAGCTCCCCGTTAATCTAATTCTCGAACGATATAAAATCGAAGGTATGTGACACATTTCACTATGTTCACTAGTGAAAATTTTGTGTATATTGAAGCTGGCAATCTGGCATTAAGAATCGTGATTTCCTGCTTATTTTGCACTTAATCTTCTGAACTTTTTGATGACATTTTTTATTTATAGGCAGATAATTTGTGGATAATATGAGTCAGCTGAGAGTCAAAGAGACTTTGGCTTTAGGTTGGTTGGTACTTTCCCATTTAACCACAACGTGTTCACTGAAGAAGACTTAGAAGCGGCCCTATTGTTTCTCAATCTCAATTAAATGACAAAAATGATGACCCAGAAAGAATTAGATGCATAATATGCAACGAATTCGGACAAGACAATGAAATGTGGTACTAGTGCATTTTGTGTGTCAAAGCACACACAAAGTGCACTAGTACCACATTTGTGTAGTGCAGTCTGTGACTTCGGCAAGTCATGTTTGTGATATTTATTTAATTTACCTAAAGAACAATGACAAAATTATATCTAGTTAAAAGAATTCGTGAATCACCCCCCAGATGGCACGTTTCACAAAAAAATAATTTGCATCTGAGTTACCAGTGCAATAGTCTGTGGTATGTTATTAATTAACTTAGTTTTTTTTGTTATGGCTTAACTTCATGCCTTTTGACCATACCAGTACACAAAATAATTTCCTCTGACCTTTCGTCACGTCACAAACCCACGGCACCATTCAACTTCTATTAACCATGTTTGAGGTTTCTGTAGTTTATTTTGATATAATAATACACCGAATATATTTTATCCAATTACGTAACACATAATCTCCGAAACTTTCCTGACTTCTCAGAATAGTAAACCCAAACAAAATTTGTTGAGAAATTTCAACTCTATATTTTCACATATTTTTCATAAACAGACGCATACAAATTATGTCAACAAAAATTTATATGGGAGTTTGCCATTGTCCTTTACTTGCAAATTGATGACCACATTTGCCAATACGTAGAGGCAATGGCGGTCAAAATGATGATTCCCAAATTATAAATTCAAAGTGACTGCAACGTATCTTAATGATTAGTTTATGTTAATTTTATTATAAGGTGATTGCAATAAATATTTTATTTGTAATTCGAATGTTATTACAAT